TGCAAGAAATCCTTGTTTTGTTTTTGAAGAGAAGTCATTCCTTTCAGTGGGCTGAAGGGATCACAAATTAGTTCTGCATTTTTAACCTTGCAATAGGCTGGCATCCTATACATGGAATAATAGAAAGCACCATTTTCAAGAAATACCATGTACATGTATTCCTTTAATGATTGATTAGCAATCTCCAACTCATTTTATCAGAAATGAATGCATTGAAACTGTTTTCTTCCAGGCAACCAGTTTCAGACCTTTAATGTCCATCAGCTCTTGCATCTTCCAGAAGTTGTGAAAGATCTGGGTCCTCTGTGGTCAAATTCATGCTTTCCATTTGAGGACTACAATGGTGATCTCAGAGAGTTATTCCATGGCACCAAGAATGTGGATGGCCAGGTTTGTTTCCGCATCATGTTCATGTTATAGATGCTTTATCTCATTGCCTACCGATGAGATCATGGCGTACGAGGTAATCTTTAACTAGGAATATATTTTTTAAAGAAAATTATATGTTAAGTGACTGCTCAGACAAGTATTTTACTGTTAAATTTATGTTTTTCACATAATTATTGTTAATGTATAAGTATTACTGTAATGATGCAATCATGTATTGTTTCAGATTGTTACAGCTGTGTCAATAATCCAGAAGTTGCCTGAAATTGCAAGATCCACAACCGCCTCTCCTGAACTCCAGGCATTCTATGAACAGCTAACTAGCAAGTGTTACAATGCACGGTAATCAAATGTTGCATTGTTTATTTTGTTAAGTGTGTGCCAATGAGATTTTGCACATATTATTAGACAGATATTCATCAACACAGTGAAGTTTATATGAGAGCTTTAACAGTACTGATAAGCAATTAAGAGTACCAATTTTTGGTTCCTTTTTTCCGGTTGTGTAGCAATGTGTTCTTTCAGAGAGCACTTTAATTACCAGTGTTCAAAGAATTTGACATGATTAATTTGATAACCATTAACAGGCAAGTCAAAAAAGAGGTCAACATACAGGTAAGTCACTGCTT